AGGGAAGGGTGGAGGGGGTGAAGGGCGCACAGGTAATGGGGAAAAAATAAGAACCAAGATATATCATGTACAGGTATAAACACCCAATGATAAATGTAAATGAACTGTATACCTAAAATGTATCAATAAAAGAACTAAAAACAAAAAAAAAATCTCCAGAACACGGACAATGAAATCAGTTTGGGTTATTTCATATACTTCAGATAAAAGAGTTATAGACTTGTGTGGTAACAGTAGATTAAAGTAGTGGCAGCAAATAAAGGTTTAAAAGTAAAAGAAAATTACAGAATTATATACACATCCATCCCATGTAGCTAACAAATTTTAAAGAAATAAAACAATATGCATAATGAGTTTCTTGTGAGACACTATACTAAGAGGACAAATCTAAACCTCACAGGAACTCTGATAGGTACTACCATTTATGAAGCAATGTCACAAAGCCCAGAGACATATTTTGCAAGATTCAAAATGAGACCTGACTATAAAGCCTATCCTTGTCATTTCTGTGTCACACATTTTTCTAATTAAACATCTCCCCAAAAGAAGCCAAAGTTTACTGTTTATCTTCCATGTGTCATATATGTAAAAGAGATCTTTATATATCATTCTTTCACCTCCAAAGTAAAAAAAGTTTTACTTATAGAGGAAATACATGACATTTAGTTTAAAACATACTTACCCTAACAACGTATTGATAAATTATCACAAGACTGACAGCCATGGAAACATTGGCAAGGAATGAAAGTACAAATAGATTCTTTAGCTCACGAATGAAGACCAAAAGAATTATAAATGGAAGAAAGCAAAGCATATATATCCTTAGGTCAACACTTCTTCTCTCGCATGGATTTGATGAATTGGTACTATTTGAAACAAATACTTTACTCTCCAGGAATCCTTCATGAATCTATGTAGAATTAACAGGGGAAGAAAGAAGGAGGGGGAAAAATCCATCAATTTATAATCAGCAAAGAGATGATACTAAGAAAATTATACTCTATACATTCTATGATAAATTCTTATGACATGCTTGATAATAGTATGTTGACATTTTTTCAAAATACTCTGGTTTCCTAGAAGCATATATGTCAAGTATAAGGATAACTAAGGTAGATAATGTTCTTTGCAAGATAATTTTTTTACTGTACTGTGAAAATAAAATTCAACAGAAAATTATGATAGGTTACTAATTTATTTTGAAGTTTTGTGACTGTCATGCTCATAATCCCTAAAAATACCTCAAAGATCTATTTCTGAGATCATCAAAACTGAAAGCACACTTACTTAGAATGGCTACTGGTTATTCTACTCCAGCTTACTTTCTTCCGTGTAGGAAATAACCACTATGCACCTCTCAGAAATGTACAGTAGAAAAGGTTAAATTTAAAAATCCATAACCTGTGCTTGCTTCGGCAGCACATATACTAAAAATCATAGCCTAATTAAAAATTTATATAAAACAACTGTTCATAAATTACCTTCCTTATTAATAATTACTAAGAACCATCTAAGTTGAGGCCTAACCTTATGTTACTCAGTAGGTAATTTCACTACAGCAGAAACTTCTACAAGATAAATGAACTTTGCCTTAAAACTTATTCATCTACTTTCATAACCCAATTTTTCAAATTTCAAGTTATAATTATTTAGGTTCCATATATTAAAAACTGTCTGATTCAATTAATAATACAATCCAGCTTACTAAAATAGAAACAAAATTATTGACAACTTCAGAAACAATCATAAAAATTTACGGTCCAGGCAAGTCGTTCTATAATTTAAATACCAATGAAGACATGTTTGCTCCCAAACACTGTACCTTCCATGAATACACTGTATTACCAAGTCTCCAAACACACAGCACTCTTAACAGATCCTATACTTGCAACAGTGGTGATTTTTTAGCACTTTCTATGGACCAGATACTGAACTACCTGCTTTATATAATAAATCCCACTTACTCCTCCAAATGGCTCTCCAAAGCGGGTTATAGTATTAATTTCAACTTAAACCTAAGGAAACTAAGGCTTAGAGGAGGGATAAATATATACATAATATAGAACCAGTGAGTAGTGGTTCTAAGATTCAAACTTCAGGCCTGAAACTTGTAAGAACTCCATGTTAACCTCACCAAAATACTGCAACCCAGAGTGGGGTGTTCTGCCCAAAAAGCCATCTGGCCTCCACTCTGACCTTTCTCTGAATGTAGTAAATATTGAGTAGACAACAAGATGGACTTTAAAACAAATCCTGATGTTGTTAGTAATCCAAATGTTGCTTTAATTTTTCACTAATAATCCATAATAAGCAATGTTATTTTCACTAGAAATATATAAATCATCTTAAATGGTGTAGGGAATTTACTAAATTTTTAAAATATATTGACAATTTATTAACTCATAATGGACTAATAAACTCTCAGGTTATACCATGCACCATTTAAGAAATGCATAGTACACCATTATCTTGTAACTGGCCATCAAAACTTTGTAATTTCTATAATTTGAAGTTGAGGCAAAATTGATAATTTATATCATGTCTTCTAAGAAGATATTTCATTGTTGACTCAATTTTCTCAGATTAGGTATTAATCAAACTTGAGCTCTGGCAAGAATTCCTGGCAAAAGAAAAGCAGTTATATAAACAAGTTTTTAAAGTGCTGTTTGAATTGGGTCATTAGGAATTCAAAATTAATTCTATCACAAATATCTAATATTTTTGCATTCTCTGACAGAAAGATGGCTATAAAAATTCTCAGGACTAAAAAATACAGTAAAAGAAAAATGCAGATACATACCTAGAGCAAGATTCAGGTAAACATTTGAGTCCTTTGGTGCCCTCTAGAGACAGAGATGGGCTATCTAATAGGACTTCCTATGGTCTCACATGTTTACCAAAATGTAAAACACTGGAATAAATATTATAAAATAAAATTACTAAATTCAGTTGTTTCCATTTAGAGCTCAAATTTACCAAAATCCACTACTTACTGATTTTTCAATGACTCAGTAATTTAATGGTTAAAATTCCCAAGGGCAGATTATGTTCTTCAGTAAAGCTAAATGCAGAATTGAAGTCATAATTCCCTATATTTGAATACTGTTTCATATTTTATAAAAGCTTGTACAAACATTTTATCAGCTGAGCCTCATAATAAGTCTATGAGGAAAAAGGGAAAATTTTGTTACTGTTTCTGTGATGTGTTTTATCATTGCTTTCAACTATTTCTTAAAGCCTGACCAAGCATCTTTTTCCATGTTGCTTGTTATGTCTCCAAAAGACTTTCATACTCTATCTACAGTGGGCATACTCTACCTCCCAGAAAGTCACTTTTTCTACTTCAGCTTTTGGGATATTTGCAAATGAATTAAACTTTTCTATTCAACTTTAAAAGAAGCTTATACTGTTTCATAGAAGAAAGTTATTCAAAGCTTTTAGACATTTATTTTCTCTACTTTTTCTACTCTTTATATCACACACACATACAACTAGACCATATCCTGCTCAATAATGAATAATTAAAAAATTGGGTGGTAACTGTGACAGAGAGACCTAGCTTTCAGCCTAATTCTACATGAGTTAGGATACATTACCATGTTTTGTGAAACTGCTTTATGAAATGAGCATATTACTTACTTTACAGAATGATGGTAAAGATTAAATGAAATATGTCACAGCTTATAAATATAAAATTATAAAGCATTATGAGCATTTCTAGATTCTTATAGAGCTTGTTGGTAATTCTCTTAGAAGATATTAGGAAAGATGAGTTACTACCATGATACACAGTCCTAGGAAGGTATTTTTCCGTCATATTCTATTCAATGACTGGTAAGATGATAGGTCTTATCAGTTCTTGACCATAAATAGCCGCAAAATGGATTAGGACTCCTAGGAATATGCAATTTAGAGTTAAATACTTGTAAAATCTAAGGAACACCACCTGGAAGAAGTAATGCTAATGAAAGCACTCACACTTTATTTTGATAAGCAAGAGTGTAAACAGAACTGTTAACTGTTGTGCTTTTCTATCTACTCCACATCTCTCATCTCTATGTGCTTTCACTAAAGTCTTTTGCTTGTTATTCTACAATGACAACATGTTTGAGGGAACATCTGTAAAGGAACAAAAGTGAATTACAGATTTTTCTTTCAGAAAATTAATTTCATGAGAACTTAATAATTTGTAAGTATCTGGAGAAAGAAAGGAGAAATAAATAGTTTGGAAGTCAGTTATTTGGAAAAATAAAACTAAAATGAGGCTGAGAAATTATATAATTTATTGGAACTTTCAGATGGAAATGAGTACCTACCAGCTAAAACTATCAGCAATCACAACACTCATCTCTTGACACTATTCCTTTTATAAGATTTGAAAAGAAATACAATGAAAGTGAGAAACCAAGATAAACTAATCATATACAGGCTAAAAGGAAAGAGTTGACAAAAAAAAACTGGTGAGAAAGATGTGTGAATAAAAATGGGAGCAAGGAAAGCAGGAAAGATACCAAAAATGGGGAAAATCAAACAGAAGAATTAAACTCAGTCAAAAAAGCTTTACTGAACACTTTTTCAATAAACCAGTTACACAGTAGATCTAAGAAACAGAGATGAAAAACAAAAAACAAATCCCTCTGAGTCTAGTGAGTTTACTTATCTTTCAATCCAATAACCATATTAGGTCCCTATAAACCAGGCACTCTTAGAAGCTAGTTTACAGTGGTGAACACAACAGATATAATGGTCCTTTACCTCATCAGACTTGCAATATACTGATGAAAATTAACTTGTAAACTAGCTTGAATATAGTAATCCAGGCTATTTTTACAAATGTTATAGAAAGTAGGAGAAAAACATCAATAAATTCTAGCAAGAGATAAAGAAATTAAGGGACAGTTGAGGAAGGCTTCCAGAGCAGTTAACACTAAAGCTAAGTTTGGATTTGCCAGATACAAACACAACTTTTATAGAGGATAAGATATGGCACACTGGACAAAACACTGATCATGAAATCCAAGCTCTAATTATTAACTGAAACCCTGTGAGAGAATCCCCTTATTTCTATAGAGTGTGACGAGCTCTTTCAACATTGAAAATCTAAACTTGTAACTCAAAAAGTAGTAATATACAGGGGTGGCTAAATCATGAGTTAGAGAACTGTAGCCTGCAGACAACCTAACACGTATTTTTAAAAATAAAAATTTACTGGAATACAATCATATTTATTTGCTTACATGTTATTGTCTATGGCTGAGATAACAGTTGCAACAGAGACCATATGGTCCGCAAAGCAGGAAATACCTATTTTATGATCCGTTATAGAAAGTATTTGCCAATTCTTGGTATTAATAAAAAATAAAACATGCTTTATATTTAGAAAAGAGAGTGAAATATAGATTTATATATAAAGTTCTTTAGAAAACATGTATTTATCATAATTTTGCATTAAAATACCTACAAGACAATTCTATGTTGTACTATGTATAATGCTTACTGCACTATATACATTTGGATAATTAATGTTATTGACTAAAATAATGATTAAAGAAAAGCAAGGGCTAACAAAGAAACACTAATATCAATCATAAAGAAATGACCCTTGGTTTTGTTTTGATAGAAATTTTTATTGCAGGCATTTGTATGTTTGTTCTAACAGACTGATTTCTAAACCAAGGCTTCAAATCATTTCTTCAAAAGCAAACCTTCATAATATGGAAAAATTACAAAAAACTACACATTTTAAAACAATATCATTTTAACAATGGAATAATTGTTGAATTTTAGCAATGAATGCTCACTTTTTTAACCTCATTTTTAGGCTACTGGTTAAAACCACATATAAATAAACCATGTTGCCAGGGATTTAGCTCAGTGGTTCCACCACCTGCCTCACAAGCACAAGGTCCTGAGTTCGATCCCCAGTACCAAACAAAACAAAACAAACAAAAGCAACCAAAAAAAATACATGTATGCATACATACATATATACATATGTAAAACATCAATGTAAAGAACATGCTTCCAAATTATCTATGAATATGCTTTTGAGATCTAAATTTGAAGTAACAAAAACATAAGATGTCATGTGCAGAGCTGCAAGAACAGGCATTACAGATATTATGACAAGACAGTAATAGCAGAAATCAAACTTGCAAAAGAGAAGAGTATGGCAAACCTGTACAAGATCATTACAAGAGGAATATATTTTCATATTCAATAATGGCTTTCACATAAGAAATATGATGCTGTACATCACAGGGCATTAGAAGAAAATGACTTTACTAACTGGATAAAAATACTCACTTGTTTCACATTTTCAGCTAAGAAAACAATATAAACACTGCAGAATCCCAACTGCGTTATCACCAGAAAAAAGTCAACCACAGTCCTGAAGGGAAATATTCACAAATAAGTATCAATAAAAGCTGGTGAAATATCAACATATTTCATTTCTTTTAAATGTTTTAAAACATCTTATAGTATAATTTATTATTTTTTACTTCTTTAAATAAAAATATTTAGAAATTTTATCTCCTATAAAGATTATGCATTTATGATCAGTATGTCACTAGAATTATTATAGAGCAAAATAATGCTCCATTAAGTTAAAAGACCAAGACTTTTACATCATTACCTTTTTCTGAAATTAAACAGTTTAAGGATATCTGCTTATAAGACTTTGTGAAAAATATTTCATTTAAATTGATCCCATCTTTACTATCTCTCAATATATTTTTCAGATCAACCCAGTGTATTTTCCAGCCCATTCCAGTTTCATGTTATTTTCAAATATGAAGAGCATATTCCCTACTAATAATACAGAATGACAGAGGATTAGGGCAATGGCCCTAAATCATGCCACAAGAGATCTCTTCAGTAGCTTTTCTCTCTAATTATTTTTTAGTGAGATGCTCAAGAAAATTTCAGCTACATAAAATGGTGAAAAATAGGTAATAAATATCACCGGACACATCAAAGTGACATTATTTGAATATGGCAGTACATACAAGTTACATATTTGCCTACATGTTGTTAATATACATCCTATGCTTCTGTGTTTAGGTATGGAAACAATGAGTGAGTACTTTAGCACGCACTTTCTAATTCATTATAGAGTTGTTTGACCATAAGTGTCAATAACATGGGTCTTCAAAATCTATAGACCCTCTTCCCTTTTGAAACTGGAAGGGTTCTGCCTCTTTTCATTCTTGCTATTACTACCATTCTCCATGGTTGGGATCTTGTTTGTAAATTATCTTACTACTCTAAAATGAATTCAACTTTCTTTTATCTAATGAGTTACATGTTGGCATTTTAAGTATTTCCTTAATATCTTTTCATTCCTCTTTCCATGTCCCACCACCAATCATTCTAGTCACTTCTGTTCAAAAGCCATTCTTTACAGAGCAAGCAGACAAAGTTGCCTGCAGTCTGGGCAAAAGAAAAATAGAGTCTATGCAATAGGGTCTGGGATTAGGCCCCTACAGAGTTTGTTAGATTCTATTTCCTTCTTTCTACTCTGTTCATCAGGAACTCTGAGCCCTTCATAAATAAATTTAAATTTCTGAAAATTCCCAGTAAGGCCATCTTTAACTATAAACTACTACGCTAACACCGTCCTTTTTTTTCTTCTAATTCCCACTGCACACATCATCTGTATCATAGTTAGCACTTTCTTGATTGCTTATACTTATTTTTCTATTCCTGTGTTCATCAGGCTTAACTTCAACAGGTCCACTAATGAGACAGTTACATCTAAATAACAAAGCAATAAATTAAGCCTGCACTAAAAGACATAAAGACCTTAGATCTCTAATGAGCATGGAGCTAAAATACCACAACTTTATTTAAAATACAGTAATAAAGTTGCAACACTTTTCTTATTCTTTTATTTATTTTTCTTATTCTTTTTACTGAACATGACACTACGTCACTGATTGGTCATGTGCTTTATAAGTGTAATTTTATTTAATTTACTATAATACTCATTTGAAGTATTATTAGTTCATTTCATAATGAGAAATCTAAACCAAACTGATGAATAATTTGAGCTCCACAGTGAAAGAGAAAACTGAGACAGCTGAAGTTTGAACCTAAATCTAACTCTAACAGTTATCTGTTTGATTCTCTCATACCATTATCTTACTAAACTATTATTTATCACTATCTTATCATATCATTATTTATGTGTCTTATCAGATCAAAATACTTAAAAGTAATATAATTTCTACAACTAGATATTAGAAACAGAAAGTACTTAACCGTCCCCATGCTGCTTGCTTCTGAAGACAACTCCAAGGACTTACTTCCATAGCAAAACTTACAGTGTCACTATATCCTAATGTTGACTTTTTAAACCTGTAATTTAATGACATACATACATCAGAAAAAGAAAAATGTTAAGTTGGTCCATAAAATCATTCCCTGAAAAGAACATTAAATAAATGTTAATTAATAGATACAGGCTATATGTTAACAGATTCGTTTCCAAAATTTGAAGATCTATATACTTACTAAACATGCCTCGTGAAATTTTAAAACTATATCTGTCCTTTTCACCAGCCTATTAATTTTGATTTACTTTGTCAAATTTATCAAAATATAGAATTCAAAGCATCTAACATTTGTACTTTGCTGATCAAATACCTAAAATCATCAATTAAATTGTTCACATCTAAATTATTCCATTTTTAGAATTATTTAATATTACATCTATATGGGGCTCTACAATATACTTTCAAATAAAGTATCACATTTAATATTCAATGTAGCTCTATGAGACAGGTATCATTCCTCCATTTAATTCCTCTCTTTTCCACTTTTTTCAAGGGGATATTGTTATTTAAATATCATAAGTGATTTACCCAACTTTAAGAACATTTACTATCAAGAGTCAAGACTAGTCTACTAAAATAGGAAATATTAAATTTCTTCATTAAAATGTTGGTTTATGGTATAGTAAAAGCACTTCATGGTCAAAAACTAAAGAAAAAGTAATACATTATTTATTGAATATCTACAAACCCACACATCATTAAAGAACAGTGAAAGTACTATACCCAAAACCAAATTATTAGTAATAGAAGATCTTGGATTATTACTAGAAGTTGGATCTCCATTTCCTCTTCATCTTCCCTGATTTTTCCCATTTATACTAAATTTAAAAAACCCATTAGCTGGTCATGGTGATGCATGCCTGTAATCCCAGGACTTGGGAGGCTGAGGCAGGAGAATGGCCACATATTCAAGGCCAACCTGGACTACACAGTGAGACCCTGTCTCAAAACACCAAAAAAAGAAAAAAGAAAGAAAGAGCCCATTCTATTCTACTCATATGGTACCTTTGGTACACAGTCAGCGATCTACAGCCACAAGTTCCTCATTCATGGATTTAACCAACCACATATGGAAAATACATGAAAAAATGCATCTGTGCTAAGTATGTAGAGACTTTTTTCTTGTCGTTATTCCCTAAACAATAAAGTATAACAACTATTTGTACAGCATTTACATTGAATTAGATATTTCAAATAAATACATATGATTCAAAGTATATCAGAGGATTGCAGAAGATACATGCAAATACCATGTCATTTTACATGAAAGACTTGAGCTTTTGCAGATTTTGATATCTATAAGAATCCTGAAACCAATTCCCTAAGGATACACAAGGATGAGGATAAACAGAGTCTAATCACATTTAAATAATATGAAATGATACCCTTTTTCATATTCATTATCCTGGATTTGTCTATATAACAAATTAAAGAACTACAACTCATGTTCCAAAGCACAATATAAATTTAATACTATGATACTCTAAGTAAATACACAGCTTTAAAATAAAGACTTAACAAATCCACATTTACCTCTGACATAGAAAGTGACTGCAACGTACCAATATGTGCATACAGTGAACAGAAATAATTCCTATAAACACAAGGCTGATTGGTCCAAGCTGAGAAAAAGAAAATTTATGTATTAAATATTTAAGTTTAAAAAAAATAAGTAACTGTATAAGCAATGAGTCCACTTACTATTAATTTACACTGAAAAAAATTTGTTGGACAAAATGATTAAATGGTCATCTGAATAAGGGAAAATTAATAAATATGATGTAGAAGCTATATCAAATAGTGTTTAAGACAACCAGGTATGATTCTATGTTATCAAATTGGCTACTTAAATCTATGGATATAGATCATAAATAAGCAGCATAGTAGGATAGAGTAGAACATTATATTTAGCATATGACTGCAGGTCTCTATTTAGTGTCCTACCATCATAATTACTTATAATTATACATCATTACCTAAAAGAGTAAAAAGCACAATCTTGAACTAGGATTTAGTCCATCTAATTCTACAGAATGCTTGAGAACTTATTTATAGTATCAGAAACTATGCTTAGAAAATAATTATTTTAAAAAGTGGTACATTTAAAATTTCAAATATTTATTTACTGTAATTAAAGCAATGCCTGGATTACTGAGTTACAACCAAACTTTTACCAAAGCTTACTTTTATAATCAGAAATTTTTAATTATCCTAAATTACATCAGGCAAAACAATAAAACTCAGAGAAAGGTGAAAGTTAAAGCTATTTTTTCCAAAGCTAATCTATTTTATAAAGTTAAATATAATTTTGTCGTGTTATGAAGGAATTCTCCCCATCAAGGCTCTCTATGATTATAATAACTATCTCTAATAATGTTTTAAATGTTTGTTTTTAGAAGATGTTTACTCCGTATCTTAACTATCTTTTTCAACCTGAAAACTGCATATCTCATTCTGAGTCTAAAAAAACTAATAATCTGAGTCTTAAAAAATACAAAAAAATCTTCTCTTAAATATATTTGTTACTATGAGTACATTGCTTAAAATCAAGTAAGACATAATCAAAATTGAAAAAAATCAAATACTATGTAAGATCTGGGTTTTCATTGTTGGTGGTTAAATATTACAAATATGTAATTAAGTAGAAATGAAAATAGTAATTCTCATGTTTTGTTATACTAGAATACTGGTCTACTAGGAGATATTTATAATATTTCACATAATTTTATCAATACAACAGGTAAGTGATCATCTAAATGTCACTCAACCAAGTTATATTTGAAGAGGCTATATTTTGGCTTATAGTAATTTTTGCAAGTCTTACCACTATGCCTGCATTTTTTATTGCCAATGGAAGTCCTAACAGGCCGGTTCCAATATTTCCCTTAAGAAGATGCATAAGAGTTTGCACAAATCTGAAAAGTAAAAGTTGTAAGAATTAAATATTTTAGACCATGATTTTACTATTACAAGGGAACTAAAAATTATTGTAGGCAGCAACCAAATAATATTTCCATTCTACCATTACACTTGGTTTAAGTCCTATCTTTGCTACTTAAAAGGGCTATAGGCATTGTAGAGATTAAATGAGATATTTAAGTGAAAGTGCCTTTTCACACAGCAGTGATTTTAAAAAAAGAAATGGATTTTTCAAGTTCCCTAAGGAGTTAACCTAAGAATACTTTCTAGGAAGCAATGAAAGAGGTCTTGACCAAAACAAAGTAAATTAAAACTAGGAGAAGGAAAACAAAATTCAAACTTAGGGAAAAAAAATGTTTGCTAAAGTATTTTTTCAGTTTATAATTTTTGTTGATCAGATATGTTACTTTGCTTAATCACTAAATTACTATTAGAGTAAGAACATGTAAAGTCAAAATTAAAAAATTAAATATTCCACTGTTTTCTTACAACTTTTATTCTGCTCACTCTGCAAAACATGTTTACTACATATCATATGTCTAGTTTCTAATCATTTCAGAAGCCATTTCTCTTAACATTCCTATTCCTCTCAATCAGATCTTAACTTCTTTCAGGATCCACAGCAATTAATATGTATTATCACTGTAATAGTTCCTGTACAATGCTTTGTTATGTAAGTGTATTTCTTTCTTGCAAATAAACTATAAACTCCTGGAAGGTAGGGACTATATCTTATTCATCTTTTTATTTTCTAAAGTATGACATAAAATGCCTTGCCTGTAGAAGATTACAGGAAATATACTGAAAGAAAAGAAAACAAACATAATCCTCAACACTTACGAAATACCCTCTTGGTCATCAAGTTGGTAATGCTTCTGAACAGGCAGAAGCTCTGCCTCATGTTCTTCATCAGATGACCCATCAAAATTCTGCTCATTTATCAAGGGCCTCATTACATCCATATCTGTAAAGAAGAAAAACAAAGTCCTTCAATATTGTTTTTATAATCAGGGAAAAAAAAGCTGTGTAAATGAATTTACCATATAGGATATGCCAGTTTAGCTATCTTTGCTAACTCTACCCTGAATAACTTAGCTATCTTAATTCCTCCTGTTATGGTATAACAGGGACAGGCCTAAGATAGAGTCAGCTAAATACAAAGAAAACAGCCAACGAGGTTAAGACCTAATTCAAGCAGCTAGCTAAGCTTAGAAATGTAAAAGAATATACAAGAGGAAACAATAAAAATTAAAATAAGAGTGAAGAAAAGGATCTTCCTCCCAGGAAAAAGGTATGCTAAAGTAGTGGACAGCTTCTCCCTAACCTCCAAACTGGACCTGGAAAACCTTAGAAATGCACAGTAACCGGTTTCCTTTGAGGACTCAGTTTCCCGTAAACTAGCTAAATAACTAATTTCCTTTAAACCCTTTATCCACAAAGCCACCTGTTTAAAACGAGTCCCCATGTTCTGTTTATCTATATAAGGTCAAGATGAAAGCATACTGGCATTTTCTACTTCCAAAAATCCTTCAAAGAGGGCATCTACCAGAAGTTTTTTTTTCATCTTATTTCCAATAAACACTCTCCTAACTTTCCCCTTTTGTCTGTGATTTTATTCTTCAATTTTGCGAGACAAAAAGCTCCAGTTTATACAAAATTAACTTCTGCAATTAAAAAGAAACAACTAGACCTATTTGCTGGATATTGTCTGGGTTGTGCAGTAAAAAGTGAAAAGGTTAAGTACTCAATGCAAAACTCTTTCAGATTGGTCCACATAAGGTTTATAGTAAGTGATCAAAGAATTACTGCATGAGAAATATAAAGAAAAAGTCAAATATGTTTCAAACTTATAGGAACACAATCCTGCTGGCTTGAACCATCAGTGGTACATGCACAACTGTCCCATCAGGCAGCCTGAACCACCAGTAGTTAGCTATTTAATATCAGATGACGGAATTCAAACCAGAGCTGTCCAGAAGCAAGAGTTATGAAATATGGCCCCATCGTGAACATGTTAAGTTAAATTTGCAAGAATTCTGTACTATAAAAAAAAATCTATTTCTTTAGAAACTTACTAATTTTCAACATTTTGTCACAACTTTTTCTCTCTCAAACCCATAGCATTTTTAATGAACCACACACATCATGCTCTGCTTCATTCTGCAGGATCCCTAATTTTCCCTGGTATGTTCTTCTCTCCCTTCAATGCCAGGAATCTAAGAGGCATCTCCATTGCTGTATTCATCTTCATTCTCAAGAAGCAATGTTTTTCCAAGGCTGTCCCTCAGTCCTTCTCACATTTAGAGTCCTTTCCTGTTCTCAGACCTATGAACTGCAAATTTCTGGACCTGGTCTCTGTTAAAATTTAACACTTCAGACTTTTTTTTAACACTTTTCTTTTTCTGCAGATTTCACTGAGCTTCCTCCAAATCTCAGGCTCCACGCTCCTCCGAAGAGAACCTAAAGTCTCCCCTGTACACTCCGCATGTTTAGAACAGCAACAGGAACTCTATGGCAATTTGTTGTTTCTTCCTCTACTTATAGATAATTTTAAGTTTCTGGTATCCTTGGTCTCCTGGTAATGCTAAAAGAGTAAGCTCATGAATGATCTACTTGTGCTCCTCATTGAATTTATAGGTTTGGGGGAGGATATGTTTAGAAATTGGGATTTAGGTAGTTAAAACTGGCCCAATGCCAACTGGAATTCACTTTTTATAAAATTTACTTTCTATAAAAGTAAAGTGATGCTTTATAACACTGAAAAAATGATTTAAACAGCCTATTCTTAAATCATTTCTTTCTCCAATACTGTAACTCATATAGAGATTAAAATTCATTAAATTATCAAAAGTTCAAAATGATGGCATCCAAATTAATAAGTTTAATATTAATCTCAAAGTGCCTAAAGGATTGTAGTCTAAAATTAAGGTGTTGGGAGGTTTGTTCCTTCTGAGGCCTGGGAGAAATGCTCTGTTCCAGGCCTCTCTCCTTAACTTGGAGATGGCCATCTTCATGTTCATTCAGATTCCCACAAACAAGACAGTTGGGCTGTCAGTTACTCTTAATAAGCTTACACTGTTTAACAATTGTCTATTTAGCTTTGTTTAACAGTATAATCCCCTGTGGTTACACTTTTCCCTAGTTATTAAATTTATTATTTTTCCCAACGTTATACTGTCCAGGAAACATTAAACATAATTACTGAGAAAAATATTTTATACAGATATATTTATTTGCTTTAAATCCATTTTTATCCTTTATATTTGAAAATCTTAATAAAATGTAATTATTCCATGAAGTTTCTTTAACCATCTCACAATGAGATTACAGAGTTGATTTAAAAGTTGAAACTAAGAGAAAAATACTTCTTAACAATGTTAGGAATTTAAAAGGTACATAATTATATATTGTTTGGATTCTACCATTAAAGCAGAAGTATGCAATGTTCTGTATTATTAAGTTCTACCTATGTGCTTAAACTTTTAAAAGCAACCGAGAAAAATCTATAAGACTTTCCCTCCAAGTTCTAACCTACATTACTGAAGCAGCCTTACATGCTAAGAAATACATATTACTTTAAGTAAACTAAGAATAAAGTGATCAGGTTTTAAGACTATACATATTAGCTTGAATGATACAAGACAGTTCTCAGTTCTAAAAAATAAATTAAAAGACAGCCAACTAAAAATATCTGGAAAATATCTATGTGCTCAAGAAGATGCATCTTTAAGTAGTAGAATATCTATTAATAAATAGAGTCAATAAGTCATTCGTAACTTTTAGAAGCTCCAGGTAATACATATTTATTACATGATTTATTTCCTTGGGAAATATTCTAGAGGTAAAACTGTGGGTAAAAGTATATGTACATTTTAAGGGCAGATGTATTACCCAGCTCTCACCAACAATGCATGAGAAAACCCATTTCTTCACAATTTCACTGGGACAAGCTGTTAATGAACCAGACATGTACGTTAATGATTCAGACATGTATGTGGGTTCGGTCATTGAGCCTAAAATTACTATATCTCCATAAAAGGGATAATAATAGGAACTGCCTCACAAAATTGTTGTTAGGATTAAAGGAGATGATGCATAAGCAATGCACTTAGCACCCTGCTTGGACACAGTAAACATTCAATAAAATATTAAATTTACTGCTTCTACGATTATTATGACTTGAAAGAAATCAATTGCAAAATGCCCTGAACAATGTCACAGGAACATCTGCCTATCAGTTACTTATAATAAGGCGTTTTTTAAAAAATTCAAACTCTTTTTTGAAGAATATGTTTAATCTTCAGCACAGAATGTAAAATATGCCTAACTACAGTGCATGTAACTGGGAAGACAACCATTGTACCTCTCTGACCCTTCTGGTTTCTTTGTGACAGAGGCAAGCATAAACATTCCCAGCACTAAGAGAACAGTCCAGAGCAAAGTTGGTAAACAAACTCTGCCAAGAGAACTAGCTACAAGTCTCTGCTGTTCATTCTGGTCTGCACCTCCTGTTCATATGCCTGGGGCAGGAAGTGGTAAAATAAAAATTCATCTTCAGACGCCTTGCAGATAAACAGCAGTGCAGTGTTTGAAAAGCAGAACAATGACAACTTCCTTTAAGCATCATTGGAAAAAAAAAAAAACCAAACATGAGAGACATAGCATAGGCTCCCTCCTGCCTTTGACGTGTACACACAGCGCAACTCCCCACCCCCAACACACACAAACACACAAACACACACCCCCACACACACACACGCCCATTTGACACCCTTTAGGCCCCGCCTTTTCTCCTGTCCAACCTCTCTGGTCGGACAACCAGTTCCTGTGCGGGCCTTAAGCCAGGCGTCAATCAGCAACCACGCCTCGATTCACGCATAGGTCTCAAGGAGGTATTTTGCTGGGTTGAAATTCAAGCCCGAGAGAGAGAGAGAGAACACGACCCACAAATCTCCCTATCCTGCCTGAAGGAACTCGAACCCGGATGCCTGGGCCGCATCCGACTCCTCGGGCCGACCCGAGTCCCCGCCCTCCCGCTCACAGCACCCACCGAGCTCCTCGAGCCCCGCCTCGTCGGCCGCCGCCGGCGCCGCTTCCATCGCTCTGGGGTCTCCAGGACGCCGCCGTCTTGGTGTCCGCTCCCCTGCCGCTGCGTGGCCGGCGTCAGACCGAAGTCTCCCCAGCCCCGGGAGACTCGCGCCCGACGCCCGGCTCCAGTCCCAGCGCTCCCCACCCGAGCACAAAGAGCATGCGCAGTGGGACGGACTGACGGACTGGATGGCGCGGGGGCGACAGGGGCCCACTCCGCGGATTCGGAGGGGCGAGAGGGGCGGCAGATCCGAGGACGGGAGTGACGCAGGGCTGGGGCTTGTCCGGAAAACTGCTGGACACCAGGAACTCTTACGTCTTAGACATAACTCAGGGTGGGAGGTGAGAGCTGGCTCAGACCAGGCCTGCAGCTCCCTCAGGCCCTTGCAAGGTGACCACTTAAATGTGGGGCGTCCATCTGTTTGCGGAGTCAGCATTCTGTTGTTACCTTGAAGGAGGCAAAGTAGAATTTGCCCCTCTGGCCGAGTTGGGGTTCTAACCTCTGTTTGGTTATCCATGTGCCTAGGCCCCTATTTAGAGATACGAGATTCGTTCAAATAGATCTTCATCTAGTTACACACAGCTTCACTTTATTAAGGATATTTCCAGGCCCTCCAAGATATCTGACGTTAACCATGGTGCTGAAAGAAACTGAAAATTAATTATATTAATGCAGTGTCAAACGCCCATAAGCACTATACACACATACATTATTTTATTTAATACAATGGCAACACTGTGAGAAAACTGTAATATTTATACCCATTTTACAGAGACAGGAACCGCCAAGGCGCACAGAGGTAAATAACTGGTCCGCGGACGGTAAGCAAGTAAATGGCAATGATGGAATTCTGTCTGCCACCAAGACCCACAGCTGGCCTCGCAGGTGGGTGCCAATAAATACTAGATGAGTTAGTAGATGAAGCATGTTTTTGATCATAAAGGAAATATTTATTATAATTTTGAAATTGCTCTCGTTTTTCAACTCATAGTTCTTTAAAGCAGGACAACATTTTTTATATTTGTTTCGTTTTGTGAGAATTTGTGTGTATGTGCGTGTGTGTGTGTGTGTGTGTATGTGTGTGTTTTAAGTGGGAGTAGGATCTGATACTTAGGACCACTGATGTAAGTACATGGTGGTGTTGCTAAATATTTTAACTTCCCAGATTAAAAATGTATACAGTTACATCATATCTACATCTTTACTCCCGTTACATGGTTTGTAGGCTTTCACTAAATAACCAGTGATATTGATGGCTTGCCAAAACCCCTTTTCCCTGAAATCACTCACACACATGCACAGGTAAATCCCAAAGGGAGGTTTTCTTTGAATCATTCCTAACAAATATTAAAGATGTGTGAATGGTAGAGAAAGAAGAGGTCTATTCTGGATCATAACTAGAGCAATAGTCTTTAACACATGGGTGACCTGGTTAAAGATTAATAACAAAAAGGGAGATAAGCATCCAAAAGTGATAGCCTGTATGTAAATGCCCATTAATCACCCATTGGTCCATTGTAATGAGAACAGTGCTTCATAGAGGAACATTATCATTTGAATGTTAAAACAGGATCAGAAACTATTTTCCTCTAATCTCACCATCAAGGAAAACAGGTCTGTTAATATGGAAGGAAAAACCCTGACTGTAATATAGCCCTGGGCTTCTTTAAATAGGCCTATGTTGAAACTTGAATTGAGGCTCAGTGTCTTTGCAAAGTATTATGGGGTGATTATGAGATTCAAGAGAACTATATTTTTTTCATACGTAACTACTTAATGAGCATATTTACTATGACTTCCGCTCCAGCCCTTATAAATTAGAAGGGGATGCAGTAGTAGCCTCCATCTAAGAAGCATATTTTCCAAGACCCCTAGTGGATGCCTGAAACTGGATAGTACTAACCCTTATATATACTGTTTTTTTCCTATGCATACATGTCTAAAATAAATTTTAATTTACAAATTAGGCATAGTAAGAGATTAATAATAACAATGAAATAGACCAAATATAACAATAAACTACAATAAAAACTGTATGAATGTTTTCCCTATCTCTCAAAATATTATATCATCCTTCCTCTTGTGATAATATGATATGATACAAGGCAAACAAGATGAAATGAAGTGAATGACATTGTAACTGGTGTTGGGCTTTTCCCTCAGAGTGACTTGAACAAAAGCATTGTGATACCATAACAGCAGATCTGATATCAGGATGGCTATTAAGTGACTAATAAATGTGCAAGTTGTATATACAGTGTGGATGGACTGGACAAAGGGATGATTTGCATCTCAGGCAGGAGGGTGTGGGATGATGCAAGACTTTATTGCAGTACTCACAACGCAGCTTGCAACTTAAAATTTATGAATCTTTATTTCTGAAATTTCCCATTTAACATTTTGAAACCATGACTAACTGAGAGTAACTGAAACTACAGAAAGCAAAACCAGCATTAAGGAGGACTACTGTGTAGTTGTATTGATTTCTTACACCTTACTCTGATGTTCTTTTTTTATTCATTTAGTTTATTGATAGATTGTAGGTATACAAAATGATGACAAGGGCCGGGGGTTTAGCTCAGTGGTTGTGCCGCCTGCCTCACAAGCGCAAGGTCCCGAGTTTGATCCCCAGTACCAAAAAACCCCCAAAATGAAAAAAAATACAATATAATAACATACATTATTGGGAATTTGTACCATTACATGATGTATCTTGGTTCTTGTTTTTTTCCCCACACCCCATCCTCCCTCAACCCCTCCATCCTGCCTTATTTACAAAGACTTTATTTCCATTTTTTCTTTCCTCATATTTATTCTTCTCCCTTCTTTCCTTTCCCCTACCACTCACACATCCCCTTCCACTTTGGATCTTTTCTTCCTATTTTACATTATCTATTACATGTTTTGATCCTTATTTACACTTTCAGTTTCTCACATTAGAGAGACTATTTGGTATTTACACATGTGTGCCCTATTTCACATAAGAGTATGGCCTCAGTGTGCATAGATGTAGCTGTAAATGTCTTTAGTTTCTCATTCTTTATGGCTGAGTAGTACTCCATTTTATAAAAACTACATCTTTATCTTGTCTCCAGTTGATGGGGAATTGGGCTGTTTCCAACTTTTGGGTATTTCAAACTGTGCCTCTATGAACATGGGTGTACATATATCACTGTGGTGTGATTCATTTATTTCTTTTAGGAAGATACCCAACAGGGGAATAGCTGAGTCAAATGGGACCTTTAATCCTAGTTTCTTGAGGTATCTCCATACTGATTTCTACAGTGGCTACACGAGTCTGCACTCCCACCAACAGTGAAGAAGTGTTCCTTTTTCACCACAACCCCATCAGCATTTGTTACTGGTTGATTTCTTGATAGAAACCATTCTTTCGTGAGGTGGAATCTCAGTGTTGTTTTCATCTTCGTCTCTCAAATGACCAGTCAGTGTGGAACATTTTTTTCATTTGTTTATTTGCTATTCCTCCTTCTTTGTCTGAGAAATATCTGTTCATTTCAGATGCTCATTTTTGGATTTGGTCTTAAAATTTGACAGGTCTGATATTTTTAAGATCTTCGTATATTCTTGATACTAGACCTTTGTCTGAAGAACAGCTGGTAAAATTTTTTTCCCACCTATCCTCTCTTCCATCTGGTCTAATGTTTCTGTTTTAATATTGAGATCTTTGATCCATTTTGATTTTAGTTTAGTACATGGTGAGAGATGAAGGTCTAGTTTTAATCTTTGGCAAGTTGAAACCAGATTTTTCCAGCATCATATTAAACAGGCTGTCTTTCCTCCAATGAGAGTGTTTGGCTCCTTTGTCAAAGATGGGGTGGCTGAGTATGTCTGGAGTTGTTTCTGCATCTTCTAATCTGTTCCACTAGTCCTTGAGTCTGTTTCTTTTTCAGCACTGTGCTGTTTTTATCACAGTAGCTTTAGAGTATAGTTTCAAGTTGAGGATTGTGATATCCCTCTACCTTGTCTTTATTGCCTAGAATTGCTTTTGCTATTCTAGATCTCTTCTTGTTCCAAATGAATTTTTGGATTGTTTTCGCAAGGTATGCTGCTAGGATTTCAATTGGGATTGCATTGCATCTATATAGCAGTTTTGGAAGTAGGGCCCTTTGCACTATGTTGATTCTTCCTACCCAGGAGCAAGGGATGTCTTTCCATTTTTTTATATCATCTCCATTCTCTCTTTTCAGAGTGCTATAGTTTTCATAGAAGAGGTACTTGATTTCTTTTGTTAGGTTGATTCCTAGGTATTTCAGTTTTTTGGATGCTATTGTGAAAGGAATTGTTTCCCACTTCCCCTCTCAGTGAGTCTGTTGTTCCTGTACAGGAAGGCTATTGATTTTTGTGTGTTGACCTTGTATCCAGCTACTTTACTGAATTTGGTTATTAAGTCTAGAAGACTTTTGGTGGAGTTCTTGGGGTCTTCTATATCTCATGTCATGTGCAAATAATGACAATTTGACTTCTTCATTTCCTATCGTTATTCTTTTTATTTCTTCCTTTGTCTAATTGCCTTGGCTAATGTTTCCAAAACTATATTGAACAGGAGTGGTGATAGTGAACATCCTTGTCTTGTTCCTGATTTTAGTGTGAAGGATTTCAGTTTTTGACCATTTAGTATGATATTGGCTGTTGGTTTTTCATAGATGGCTTTTATCAGATTGCAGTAGAGACCGTCTATTCCAATTTTTTGTAGTTTTTATCATAAATGCATGTTGGATTTTGTCGAATGCTTTTTCTGCATCTATTGAGATGATCATATGGTTTTTGTCCTTGGCTGTATTTATATAGCGTATTACATTTACTGATTTGTGTCTGTTGAAACATCCCTGCATCCCTGGGATGAACTGCACTTGGTCGGGGTGTATGATCTTCTTGATGATCTTCTGCATTCTATTTGCCAATATCTTATTAAGGATTTCTGCATCTATGTTTATTAGTGAGACTGGCCTATAGTTCTCTTTTTTAGTTGGTTCTTTGTCTGCTTTCGGGATCAAGGTGATGCTTGCTTCCATGAATGAATTCAGGAGTATTGCTTCCATTTCAATTTCATTGAAGAGTTTAAACAGTAGTGGAACAGTTCCTCACTAAATGTCTTGTAGAATTCAGTAGTAACGTCATCAGGACCCGGGCTTTTCTTAATTGGTAAGTTTTTAATTACGTTCTCAATTTCATTGATTGATAATGGGTTGTTTAGAATTTTTAGGTGTTCTTCGTTCAACTTTGGTAATTCATACCTATCTACAAACCTGTCCATTTCTTCTGTGTTTTCTAACTTGTTGCATATAGTTTCTTGAAGTAGGTATTGATGATCCTCTGGATTTCTTCTGTGTCCATTGTAATTCCTTTGTAATTCATTATAATTCCTTTGTCTGATCAGTTGGATAAGGGTTTGTCAATTTTGTTTATTCTTTCAAAGAAGCGTCTCTTGGCTTCATTGATTTTTTGTTTCATTCTTAGTCTCCATTGCACTGATTTCTGCTCTGATCTTTATAATTTCCTCCCTTGTATGAGCTTTGGGTTTGGCCTACTCTTCTTTTTCTAGAAGCTTGAGGTTCAGCATCATGTTGTTTAATTGGGCTTGCTCTGTTTTCCTAATATGAGTATCCATTGCTATGAATTTCCCTTGTAAGTCTGCTTTCATTGTGTCCCGTAGATTCCGATATGTTGTATTGTCATCGTCATTTAATTGAAGGAACTGTCTGATTTCTTCTTTAATTTCCTCTGTGACTCATTGGTTATTCAGGAGTGTGTTTTTCAATTTTTATGTGTTTATGAAATTCTTGTGGTTTCTTTTGTTATTGGTCTCCAATTTCATCGCACTATGGTCTGATGATATACAGGGGACTTACTTAAACATGTTCTAT